CTCAGAAATTTTTGAGACTGGAAAGGTTTTTAAGGAGATGGGATGGGCAACAGAGGGATTCAAATTGAATTAATTCTCGTCAGGTGAATTCTCCTTTTCAGCATTTCTCCTCTAAGGATAAATTCAGTGCACAAAGAATCCACAAGCCCAGTGATCCCACAGAGGTGCTTCCAAAAACCCCAAAACTGCATCAAACAAAGGATGAATTTGGGGCAGGAGGCCTTAAAGAAATCAATCTTTTCTCCTCAGGAAATTATTTTTTTTCCTCCTTTTCCAAGCAACTTTTTCAATTAGCACCCTCAGCTGAAATTTGATTTTTGTTTCTTGATTTAGGAAATTAATGAAAAGTCGATTCAGTCCCCAGTTTTGTGAATTTTGGGCGAACACACTGCAGTTAAGCTCAGAATAAAATGAAATAAAACCACATTTAACTTTATTCTGAACAACAGCTGTCAGGTTTTTGCTTTCTTAGGGGTTTGGAGAAGGAATGGGGGAAGGTTTGAGGAAATCCAGGAACACTTACTTGTTCTTTCAGCTGATTGACTTTATCTTGGAGAAGCCTCTTCACCAGCCTTAATTTCTGCTCCACGTCCATCATCCTCTCTTCCATCATTTTCAGGAGCTGCTCATGACCCTCCTGGAAAATTCAATTTATGTGAAAATCAGTCGAAAATCAGTTCCCATTCACCAGTCTGTTTTGTTTTTGTAGTTTGTGCTCAAGAAAATTGGTGGCCATCCACGTTTCAGTCTGATTTAGAGGCAATTAAATTAATAAACCTTTAATTAAAGCAAAATATTCATGGCATCACTCTCAGCATTGCACTGGATTTCCAAGCAAGTTGCATTTGAAATTACCAAATCAAGGAAAAATTATATAAAATTCTAACTTCTCTCTTGTCTGTAACAGAGCTGGATAATTTCCTTTTCTTGTTCTTGGGTGCTGCCAAATTTCTGATGAATGTGGGAAACAAAATGCCAATTTAATGGTTTTAGAATAAAAATAAAGTGAACTTATAAGGTCATGCTTGACAATGTAACTCTGCCATGCC